TAGAGGCGTGGTTTGATAAAATTAATTTTTTCAAGGTCTATTAGAGGCGTGGTATTATTAAAAATAATCTTTCAAGGCCTATTAGGGGCGTAATTTTATTAAAAATATTTTGTTCAAGGTCTTGTAGAGCCGTTGTTTTGTAAAAAGTATTTGCATGGACTATTGGATGCGTATTTTTAGTTATTTTTTCAAGGCCTATTAGAGTCGTAGTTTTACTTTACATATTTTTTTAATGTCTACATGATGTGGAAGCGACGTTTTTACTAGCTTCCACATCATTGATTTTCTTATTACATATATATTACCTTTTTTTAATCCAATTATCACATTCCATTTATGCAATGGAAAATGTGACACTATCAGTGTTGTGAATTAGAAAAAAAGCACGCATATATCACATTTCTATCCGAAACTTTTCATAAAAAAAAACAAAAATGCTTATTAAGCAAATAAAAAACGACAGTATCCATGTCATATTTGAAATTTACAACTACAGCATAATTTAATTATATGCTCTGCGTTTTTTTCTGCATTGTCCACCCATTCTACAATTAGATCATTACAACACACACTCGCACACAAATAAGGACAACATATGAGAATGAATAATTCGAATCTGTGAACAAGTGAAATTAAAAATTAATTAAAAAATAATTAAAAATCCAACAAAATCCAATAAAAAACTCGTAATTCATTGTGGTTTAAATCGATGCAATGAAACAATCAATAATACTACGGTGATATACAGTTATAAATTGTTATTTTATATATATATATATATAAATATAAAATAATGCAATATAACAAATTAATAAACGACGATGACACAATATGTTGCCAATTGAGACGTGTTTATTGGAAACATTAACCTTTTTTAAATTTTATTGGAATTCACTTCACTTTGATGTTTTAAAGGACATTACCACAAAGTGTTAGAATAGTTGAATCACTAATATAATTCCACTTCAATAGAGAAAACAAATAATATTATTAAAATATATATTTTCTAACAATTGTTTTTAACTCAGGTTTCAACCATATTAAACTCTGTGGTAGAAGTTATATTGATTTTTTTTTCTTCGCCCCCTCTTTTTTTATCTGTTTATTATTAATTGAAATTGCAATTATGTTTTAATTAATTTGTATGCATATTAAATAATATAATTTACATAAACATACAGATGCAATGCACAGATGTAGTGAATTTTTACACACACATACATTTGCACTCTAATGTGTTGCTGATGTCGACTTTTTTATTTTTGCTTTTTCCACCATAAATTGGGAGCTATATTCAGTTTGTCGATTATCTTGTAACACCGAGATTGAATTTTTCTTTTCTTTAACAGACGTGCAACTCGAAAGATTTACAGGGACTTTGGTGCGAAAATATATTTGGGAGCTATATGTAAATCTGAATCGATTTTCACGAATCTTAGCACACATCATTCTAGATTCAATTCAGAACGCCGTGCCAAATTTCGTACAAATCGGAGTATATATAGGGACTTTGGTGCACCATTTACTTTAAATCGGACGAAAATATGTTTGGGACCTATGTCTAAATCCGAACCGATTTTCACAAAACTTAGCATACATCATTCTAGGCTCAATTCAGCACGTCATGCCCAATTTGTGCAAATCGAATGATATATAGGGACTTTGGTCACCATTTACCTTAAATCGGTCGAACTTGGCAGACATCATTCTAAAATCAATTCATTACGCTATGCCAAATTTCGTGTAAATCGCAAGATAAGTAGGGGCTTTGGTGCACCATTAACATAAAATAGCGAAAATATATATGGGAGCTATATGTAAATCTTAACTGATTTTCACGAAACTTACCACACATCATTCTGTGCCAAATTTCGTGTAAATCGAAAGATAAGTAGGAGCTTTGGTGCTCCATTAACATAAAATCAGACGAAAATATATATATGGGAGCTATATGTAAATCTTAACCGATTTTCACGAAACTTAGCACACATTATTCTTGACTTAATTCAGAACGCTATGCTGAAATTCGTGCACACTGAAAGATATATAGGGACTTTGGTGAACCTTTTACCTAAAATCGGGCGAAAATGTATATGGGAGCAATATCTAAATTTGAACCGATTTTCACCAATTTCAATAGTGTTCGTCCTTGGGCCAAATAAATGAGCTGTGTCAAATTTCATCCAAATCGGATTATAAATGCGACCTGTACTTTGTTTACAATTTAACATCAACAGACGGACGGACGGACATGCATAAATCGACTGAGAAAGTTATTCTAGGCATATTCTCAAAAGGAAGGGTCTACCTCGTTTGCTTTTGCCTGTTACAAACATGACATAATACCCTGTACCACAGTGTGGTGAAGGGTAAAAAAAACAATGGTCTATTAGAGGCGTGTTTTTTTTTGTAATATTTTGTAAGGTCCATTAGAGACGTGATTTTATTAAAAACAATTTTTTCAAGGTCTATTAGAGGCGTGGTTTTATTGAAAACATTTTTTCAAGGTCTATTAGAGGCGTTACTAAAACTATTTTTTAAGGTTTATTAGAGGTGTGGTTTTATTATTTTTTATAGAAAAGCAAAATAATGTAATTAATTCTATATAGAAGATATGAAAATTTTTATCTTGAACCAGGATCTTCTTCAATCATATCAGATATGAAGGTCTTCTATTTTCATAGAAGATCTAGAAGGACTTCTTCTTTTCTTGCAGAAATAAAGGTATTTTTCTTTTAAAGAGACCTGATAGTCTTCATTCATAGGTGAAGTTATTTTTCTTCATAGAACCCTTCTTCTTTTATTTACGAGCTGAATGTCTTCGTCTTTAAAAAAGGCCTGAAGGTTCTCTTCTTTCATAGAAAAACAGAAAGTCGTATATATTACATAACCAGTGAGCGGAGCAGTATTGTCGGTCGGGGCTGACCATATGATACCCTACACAACATTCACGAAAATCTAACTTTCTGTGGTTCTATATTCTGAGCGTGGGCAATATTTCGCGATATTTGCACCATCTTCACCGACTAGAGGTCAGTCAACAGGTATTACTAATATTGAGTACAGCCATTCTTATTATTTGTTCAGATTCCTTTCACCGTGAGTTGTGTAGATCGATTCGAAAAAAAAACTGTGACTACACACAACTACCACGGTCTTTATGAAACAGGCATGCTTATTCTTTGACCCGATCCCCATCTCCATGCAAAATTTCACGAAGTTCGGGCCATTATTGCGGCCTATGGAGATACCAGAAAACCTGAAAAAATTTAGTATTTGGTCCATTTCATCCCCTAAATATTAACCGATTGGCCAGAACCCATCCCATCGTGAAGATTGGTCCATAACTGTGGCCTGTATCGTTTTTACAAATTATAATGGACAGACGGACGGACGTACGGACGGACAGACACACATGTCTAGATCGACTCAGCTAGTCGAGATATGACGATCGGTATACTTAAAGGTGGGTCTAGGACCAATATTTCGGGGCGTTACAAACATTTGGGGCTGCACAAAGCTATAATACCCTGAGGGTATAAAAATAAGTTTTCGGTTCACTTTATTCCAAAATTCTTATCTGATCATCACCGAATATTATAGGCGTTGCCCCTGGAACATACTTCAATCCTAATGAAAAATTTCAAAGTGATCAGCGCTACATTTCCGCCCTCTAATTTGGTAATGGGTTACTAAATAATATATGAATACGTAAGCACCTGTAAAAATTTAAATGTAACTCCCACATCCAAGTAGATACGAAATATATCAATTTAAAGGTCAACCACACCTATTGGATATACTATCAAAATTTCGGTTCTATGTCCATTTAGGAGTAAATATATACGCCATAGAATATAATTTTTCACACAAAAGTCAAATATTGATCGACCTTTGTCAAAAGAGGCGTATTTATTCCTTAGCTCCATCCACTTCTCCTTGTGATAATTCGCGATGTTTGGTCCATAATTGCGGCCACTGGAGCGACTAGAAAATTCATTCATAGAAGATTATAAGCTTTATCTTTCATAGAATACCTGAAGGTCTTCATCTTACATAGAAGAGCTGAAGGTCTTCATCTTTTATAGAAGAGCTGAAGGTCTTCATCTTTCATAGAAGAGCTGAAGGTCTTCATCTTTCATAGAAGAGCTGAAAGTCTTCATCTGAAGAGCTGAAGGTATTTTTCTTCACAGAAGCTTTCTTCTTTCATTTAAGAGCTGAAGCAATTCATCTTTTATAGAGAACTTTTTTTCACAGCAGATTTAAATGACTTCTTCTTTCATAGAATAGCTAAAGGTCATAGAAGTGTTTTGTAAAATATGAGCAGGCCTGTATTCGAGACGAATAGTAGAATATTCTATCGAAGATATCATTGCTTTTTGTTTCTAAAAAAATTATTACCCGTTTTGTGTATTTCTTTACAGCTGAAGGGTATACAAACGCCGTCCACGTCGTAATAAATGCGTTTTTACTTAATTTGCAAATTGTATGTTTTCCAATGACCTTTCTCTTGTGCATACAAACACGTAAATGTAATTTGTGATAATTGTAATCCATCACCAATAAAATAATTCAATTTTAGTTCGGGGGTAAATTGTTTTTAATTAAAATAAATATATTGAAAAAAAAAATGGAAAACATTTACAATAAAACAGCATTTATCTTTCGAGGTCATCGAGTGAGTGACAATTGAAAATGTAATCGATTGTAAATGTAGAGGTTTTTTCAGGTTTGTATTTTTTAGCGCAGTAGTAAGTGGCTTAAATGTTTAAAATATATTGGCAGGATGTTGCTGTTTTTTTTTTAATGCAAATTTTTATAAAATGTTGTTCAAAGATAAGCGGAAGCTCTTTTAATGCACACCTCATGGTAGAGGTTATAGGGAGCAGTTTTTATATTCAGATTTCAATTCATGAACAGATATTATTTAAAATAAAATATATTTTTCTAAACAAAAATCTTATATTGTTAACTTAAAGTAACAACAATGTTCTACTTACTTATCCACCACCAACTTCGTGAATACCAAATCACGTTTATAATAGACGGGATTACTGTGTTCATGATTCACTGCCTTATCCATCAAAGGGTGTGAGCGTATAAAATTCAAAACGGTGTCGGGTAAATTTGAGGTATCATTGACACACGTACCGGGACGAGGTTCAGGAACACGTGCATTCAATACAGGCAGCCAGGCAGAATTTGAAGTAGATTGCTCTTTGAATTTACCTAAGAAAATACAAAATAAGAAAAAAACCAACAGAAATAAGTAAAACGATGGAAAATAATACAAAATAAAGGAAATAAACAACAATTGCTGCAAAACAATTGTATTTTGTTAACAAGGATTTTACAATTCGGTAATCCCAGAACAATTGTGGTGTTATTGCACAAAATGTATTTCATTCATTCAGCCGTACTTTCCTAAAATGTTATATACGGTTGCTATGTTTAACAAAATCCCCCAATGGAATATTAAAAAAAACACAATAACTTTTACAATACACAAAATAAAATACACTGGCAAAAATTCAGCTATGTAAAATATTATTGGCAAACAAATAACTCGGATTGTGGTTCCCATTGTTTGTTTCCTTGCTGCTATTTTGTCCAAGTGTATCAATTACCTTAAACCGCAACCAAGACACTTAAAGCAATCATCAAATCCATTGTAGCTGCATTAAGACACAAATGCTTTGTGTCTTACCATGACACACAAGCGGATTAAAGCCACCACGGTAACACCACAAAACACTTAATTCATTGTTGGCTAGATGTTTAGCAAAATCATGTAGATTTGCAGTTACAACTACAACAGCAATAACAATTGAAAAATAAAATTTTATTTAATCTGAGAAAAATGGAATGGAAACGTATTTAAAAATGAAATCTAAATATATTGTAAATTGGTAGATAACCACAAGATTTAGAAATAAAGATTTTTTCTCAGGAGACCAAAAGACCTTCTTCTGAAAGTCTCATTATTTCATAGAAAAGAAGATCTTCCTCTTTCATAGAAGAGCTGAAGATCTTCCTCCCCCATAGAAAGCTTTCCTCTTGCATAGAAGGGCTGTGGCAGTTTTTTTCTTTCATAGAAGGGCTGCGACGGTCTACTTCTTTCATACAAGAGCTGAAGGTATTCCTTCATAACATATTTCAAGGTCTTCCTCCTGCATAAAACAGGTGAAGCCCTACCTCCTTCATATAACAACTGGTGGTCTTCTTATTTCATAGAAGAGCTAAAGGTATTTCTTCTTGATACAAGAGCTGGAGGTCTTCCTCAGTCATAGACGAGCTGAAAGTCTTCCCCATTCATAGAGGAACTGAAAGTCTTCCTTTTTCATATAATAGCTCAAGGTCCTCCTCTTTCATAGAGGAACTGTAAGACGTCTTCTACAGAAGAACTAAAGGCCTTCCTCTTTCATAGGAAGAGCTGAAGGTATTCCGCTTCATAGTAGAACTGAAGGTCTTTCTCGTTCATAAAAGAACTGAAGATATTCTTATATCATCGAATAACTGAAGGTCTTCCTCCTTCATAGAAGGACTGACGGTCTTCTGAAACTGAGCTGAAGATCTTCCCCACTGACAGAGAAACTGAAAAGGCTGAAAGTCTTCCTCATCTTTCATAGGTGAGCTGAAGGACTTCTTCCATAGAAGAGCTGAAGGCCTTCCTCTTTCTTAGAAGGTCTACGACGGTATTCTTCTTTAATAGCATGTCTTCTTCGTTCATAGAACAGCTGAAGGTCTTCTGCATTCATAGTAGAACTGAAGGTCTTCGATTGTATGGAAAAGCTGAAGGTCTTCACCTTGCATAAAATATCTGGAGGTCTTCCTCCTTCATAGAAGATCTTCTTCGATCATTGAAAAGCTGAAGATCCTCTTCTCTCATAGAAAAGCTGAAACTCTTCTTCTTTCATAGAAGATATGAAAGCAGTCTTCCTCATATAAAAGCGGGCTTTTACAATATTTCAGGCCTATTAATGAAAAGTCGAATATATTTCATTGCTTTCCAAAGTATTCCGATTTATAAACATTCTCATGCACTCAAATCACTTGTTGGAGCACTTTTCCCACTCCACCATCATGACATGGGTTGGAACACCTCCACAATTTTTTTAATAGTTGTTTCTCAAGGACTATCAGACATATAATAGTGAATTCTTCAAGAATATTTTCCCAAGGACTATCAGAGTTATAAGCGTGGACTATTAAAGAATATTTTTGGAGGATGTTTTCTAAATGACTATCAGACCCATAGGGTCTGGATTTTTTGAGAAGATTTTCTCCAGGACTATCCGATCTATAAACGTGGATTTTTAAAGAATATTTTTTCAACGACTATCAGACCTATAGGCGTGGAATCTTCGACAATATTTTCTCATGGACTACTTGAGCAATAAGTGTGGACTTTTAAAGAATATTTTCTCAAGAACTATCCCAGCTTTAAGATTTGATTTTTAATAAATATTTCCCCAAAGAATATCCGAGCTGTAAGCGTGGCCGTGTAAGAAAAGTTCTGTAAGAAAAGTCTAATACTTATAATTTTCGATTATTTTTATGTTCCATACCCTTTCATATTTTACCTAATTTTATTTATCTCCCATTAAATAAATAATAGTAAAAAAAATTATATATGCCAACTTACCATTGAATGCTGCCTGTACTTCGTTGATGTGAAAACTGCATACGGCCGAACCGATTAGACCATTTGTACTTGTCGTAAATGTTGCATAGAAACGTGTCTTATCGTTTGGCAACTGATACACCGATTGTATCTCATTGAAATAGAAGGGGAATTCACCAGAAATACTGCAATTCAGGCGAGCCTTCAAGTAGGTAGCCCAATTGTGTGCCAAAATATTCTTGCCACCGACATCCTTCTTGCAGACACGAGCGATACGCGAATAAACAGCCTTGCCACAATTGATATACTCGACAGCGGTTTCACGGAAAAAGAAATACACATAATCGCCAATGTCATAAGAGCCAACGAAGTTGGGTTCTAAAGATAGATGAGGGAGAAGGAAAATAGATAAATGGATTAAAAAAAATTATAAGTTTATTCTATTATTTTATTATGTGTCATATTTAATTTATTAGTAAGTTTTCTTAACTAAAGAGTTTAATTGAATTTTTCCTTCTTTTGTATCTTGCTTTGGATGTTTCATAAAAAGTGTCAAAGTACTTTGTAAAATGGGGTTTATAATCGAATATAATCAATTTAATTAATTTTGCATAAAAAAGTGTGCTATCGAAGGACTTTGATTTTCACAGTAAATGACAAAGATTATTGGAAGAGGTTGTATGTGTGTCCCTAGCTTTTTATGGCGCATAGAATATTTATCCTTTCGGAAAATATAAACGCCATGGAACATGTTTTCTTATACGATAATTAATTTTGATGTTGTGGTAAATAGCTTCGTGAAAAATATGAACTGTGGTTTCCACCGATCAGTTAAGGAAAATTAGAACGTAAGGTGTATTTTTATTTAAAAATAAATTTCCTCAAGGACTGACAAAGCCATAACCGAACATATAAAAAATATTAAGGACTATTCGAGCAATAATCGATTTAAAAAAATATTTTATGAAGGTCTCTCCGAACTTAAAGCGTGGATTTTAAAGAACCGGAATTTTTTTAAAATATTTTTCCAATGCCTATCAGACCCATAGGCGTGGATTTTTAAAGAATATTTTTCCAAGGTC